CCCTCGCCTCCTCCCCCTCCAGCAATCCGCCTCGGGATCCAATCCCAGGCCTCCCAGCCCCCGAAGGCCCCCACCGGCATGATCAAATACCGTCAGATCCACAACTGCCTTCCCTCCGCAGCCAAGGCGCCACCACCCATCCCCTCTTCGCCACCTTTCCAGCAGCTCAAGGCCCGTCGGAAGTTTCGCCGAAACTGTCGGTGACGCGAAAGGGGGGACTGGCCTCCGCGCGCTGCGCCGCGCACGCGCGCGGCGCGTGGTGAGCGTTGCCATCAGCGGTCCGCTGTGTATTGCGATTGGCGGAGGTGGGTGAGGGCGGAGGAGGCCGAGGGGACCAGCGGGGGCGCCTGCGGCATGTGCCCTGAGTGCGCGAGCGGCACACACTGGGCGCGTGGAGTACGGCAGCGTTGGAAGCGGGTCTGATGTACGGTATTATTAAGAGCAGTGCGGCAGTGGGGAGGGTCAGCCGTAAGGTAGTGCATCGTATCCTACCCTTTGAGCCCTCAGAAGGCTGGCGCATTCAAAAGCAGCACAACTCCGCCTGATTCTAGGGAATTTGTTCCTGCCGATTGCCTCGCACGAACCCTCATCATCACGGGCGTCTGCATAGCGAGGCGACGAGGTGCGAATGAATCCCGTCCGATGACATTGATGGCACCGGGCTTGATGACAGTTCATGAATTATCATGCTTGGAAATGCAAATATTGGGCTGAGGCACTTTGACTACTCCCCCATCTTGTGAATTTTCGCGCTCTGATGTGCAACAAATCAGTGGCTGGATGGCAGCATTGTCTTGGGTTCTCATTGAGCATGGGCGATGTTGTTCTCGGGACAAGGGAAGACACCATGTCGATTGTGGTACGCTTAGTGTCAAATTGACGCAAGGGGGGGGGGAGGGGATCCCGCCCTGTGACGCTAAGAGATTATGTAGTGTTCGGGTCGCCAAAATATGATGTGAAATTTATGGCAAGCTGGTGACCCGTGAGCCTCAAAAAATGGCTAGGAAGTGGCGAAAATCCAACTTTACAACTTCACGGACTATGGTCCGTCCGTCCGATCTGTCGGTCTGCGCGCCACAGCCTTTGCGTACGGGTCGCACACGAGGAGAATGCTGGCATTCTCCTCGTGTACGACCCACACACAAAGGCCGTGGCACGCAGCACAACACATCGGCTTCACAGCCAACAGTTTGAGATCTCCTGCGGTCGAATTTCGGCAGAGCACGCCCACTGCAATCTCGCCGTTCGAGTGCATGAGTTTCTAAGCGAATTTGTGAGAATTGAAGCGCCTTCCCGCGTGTTTCCCACCCAATGCCCGGACTTCTGCGTGAGCCTGGATGTGCAAGGCCCGGAGGCCAGCTGGAGCCGGGTTCTCCGTGGCGGAATCGCTGGCGACGTCTTCGCGGGGAGCTGTACGACCCCAGATTCGTCCCCTTCGACGCAAATCCAATCGAGCCGGAAGGCGGGACAGGCGAAGGCTTGGCGCCTGGTGGATTTTCGCCCGGGTGGCTGCCATGTCAGACGGCCACCTTTTGCAGTAATTGCCACAAAACCGACATAAGGAAAGAAGGTGCCCAAAACCGCCACTGATGAGGAGGAAACACCCTGTGATTTCTTCCTAAACCTCCTGCAAGTATCCGATTGTCAAAGAAGGCCTTAGAATGGCTTAGAATGGATCAATTTGCAGCCATTCAGGCTGCCCGCCTCGCTTACACTGGCATGTACAATTCCATGTGTACCACAGAAATGAGCGCAAAAATTTGGTGGTCTTTTGTCCATAAAACCACTTAAGAGTTGCGTATCACCATCAGGTAATGTTGCTGAGTCATCCTTGCACCAACGTAAGGATTGACGCTGGGGTGGGGGATTCTCTGAGCTTAGCATCAAATTGACATAGCAACAAGCGTCTTCCCAAATGGAGGGCTGATGGTCGCCTATTCGTCTTGATACAGGGACTTCATGACCACCTCCTCGCCTCTTGCGTCATAATATTTCTTGATGATGAGGATGACTCATGCCCGCGTTAGTTTTTGCCGGGGCCCCAATGTGGCCAAAAATGCGCCATCTCCCACGAGGCCCCACCAACCCATCGCGACGATGGAGGCGCGCGGGGCCCCAGCGCACCGGGCCGCCTGCGCCCGATCCTCCGCGCCCACCCCCCGCCGGGCGCCGCGCCCGCTCTCCGCCCCCCGTGTCGGGCCGCGCCGCCCCCATTACCTTCCTTCCATCTTCCAACAGCGTCCGATCCCAACCTTGATTCGCCATGGATCGATCCGCGAGTCGGCGAGAGGATTTGATGGCGCGGATTGGGATCGCGCGCAGGCGATCGTCGGGCGCCCGGCTGAGGAGTCGACGGCGCGGAGGCGTCTCGGTCGGGAGGTTGGGAGGCTGGTGTTGATGCTGGCGCTGTGCGCGGCGGCAAGGATGGCCCTCGGGGCGGGGCCAGCGTTCGCAGCGTCTGCGGCGGCCACCGCGAACCCCGTGACGCCTCTGTCGCTTGTGAAAGGTGCGGGGTGGTCGCGGCGCGGACGCGCAAAGGTGATGATCGTGGTTGTTTTGATCGAAAGAGGGAAGGGGCGGGGGTGGACTGTCGGGCGCGTGGTGATGGACGGCGTTGGCTTGGACTGGCGGGGTTTGTCAATTCGGCCGGGGAGCGGTGCGGGGCAATTTGCGTGCTATTCGTCCCAGTTTTGTTTAATGTTGCGAATGAATTTGTTTCATTTTGACTCTCCCAAAACTGCCTCGGTGAAAGATTGAACAACCAAGAGCTGTTGCATTGGCAACGAGGCAGCGGTCTGCCCAGTGGCGGATGACTGGGAACTGCAAGCTCGAAACGCACGGACCCCGGTCTGTCCTTCTAGGTGCTTTCAGAACTCTGGGTGGGCATGGCTCGCATTCATTGTCACGCACCTTGTGGAGCACGGGAAAATGTGCAACCACTCTGTGGTAAACAAACAATGCCGATGGAATTTTGTGCCTGTCATCCACTTTCAATGGAGGCGTCCCCGTGAACGCTTTGTCAAAGAATTGTGGGCGAATGTCATCATTATAGTTAAATCCACAATCTGCATTATGCAGGGCTCAATCCTGCACCCCAGAATCGAATATATTGATTGTGTGTTGGAGAGGAACGAGTTCTTGGGACAATTTTCAGCAGAACAACCTTTGTATTAGCTTCTTATCCTGCCCAGTTCAGTGGCAAACTTTGAAGCACAAGTCTGGAAACCTGGCGGGGAGAGGAGGGAGGGGCACGGAGGCAGAATATAACGAATACTTCCTCTGTCCAAGACTAATTGTCCTCTATTTGGAAGACAAAACTCGTGACAAAGACCACCTCAAAATTACAAAAGAGGTTCAGAATCGGAAATAATGGGTTCAAAGACCCTTAGCTACCAATTTTCAAGACGAATAAGTGAGACACAACCTCGTGAGTGTTAGGCGAAAGGAAACTTTTGGTCATTTTGAACCCCCAATATCGAGGTATATTGGGTAAATTATGCTTGATGCAAACTGATCCCAAATCTGGAATTCTTAATGGATTGACTTGATTTTTGGACCACACACTCCAAACTCATAAGCATAGATTTGGGATGAATTTCACTAAAGAACAAAGTTCTCAGTTTGCGTGGCTGTTTTCCAAAGAGTGTTGAAAAATGGGTGTTTTTTTGGGGGAGAACCCTTGCTACGAAGTGATGCCAAATCTGCAGGATTCAATGGATTGACATGAAATGTTGATATTATGCTGCAAACTTGCAAGCACAACTTTGGGAGAAACTTCATTGAAAAATGATGAGGTCAAGGTGGATAAGTAATGGCCCCAATTCATAGAAGACAATTAATCTTGGACAAAGGAAGTATATTCATGCTGCAACTTGCAATGGTGAGTTGTGTTCCAAAAATGCATGGAAGGTTGCAGCTGACATTTGCCCATGCCCTAGGCCTTGTGGACTTCGTGTTGCACATCGACCACCACCTTGGGCAGCTCATTGCCAGCCATGGCCCTGCCACCTATGCCATTTTCTTCACCATCGTCTTCTGTGAGACGGGCCTCGTCCTCACACCCTTCCTCCCAGGCGACTCCCTCCTTTTCGCTGCAGGCGCCTTCGCCGGCATCGGCAAACTCTCCCTTCCCATCCTCCTGGCCGTGTTCATAACCTCAGCGATCATTGGCGACGCTGTGAATTACGCTGTTGGCGCATGGCTGGGCGACCGCGCCACCAAATCCAAGCTCGTTTCTGCTGAAGCTATAGGTAAGAGGTCGATCTTCACATCTGCAGGAAATTTGTGGCGACCAGCTGCTATTGAACCTGTCAGCAGGAAATGTTATATACCAAGGCGAAGAGATAGCCGTCAGCTGCATAATCGCCCAAGCAGAGCACTGTTGATGATCATTCCTTGAGATCCAAGATATTGTTACAATCCAACCACTGAGGTGTTATGCATCAGAACACACAAAAGTCACATAATCCATGAACCTGCCGCTGAAAGATGTCAGGCACCATCGGGCGCCAGGCACACAGAGAAAATGACTTCTCGCAGACACAGTGCTGCAGTTCCCCACAGGCAGGACTCGCCCTGCTTTCCCAGACTTCGCCATCTTGCGTCGCAGCAGGGCACAAAATCTCCCCCGTCCTTGCCCAGGATGGCCGCCCGCACAAACTCTTTAGTCATGAGTCAGTAGCCTTGACCCTTTTGTTGTCCTGCAACACGGCGCCCCACAGGCAGGACCGAGCGCTTCTACGCCAAGCACGGCGGCAAGACGGTCGTGCTGGCGCGCTTCGTCCCCATCATCCGCACCTTCGCGCCATTCGTGGCAGGCGTGGGCGGCATGGCCTACAACAAGTTCGGCCTGTACAACGTCGCCGGAGCCGTCCTGTGGAGCGTGCTCTTCACCGGCGCCGGCTTTCTCTTCGGCAACGTGCCCTTCGTGGAGAGGAACTTCTCACTGGTGGTGCTGGCCATTGTGGCGCTGTCGGTGGTGCCGGTCGTGCTCGAGGTGGCGGCCGCCTGGCGCGAGGGGAGCGCCGGGGAGGGCCGGGCGGGAGTGGCCTGACACGCCAGGGCCCGTGGGCCCCAAGGGCCCGCACGGTCGGCCGGATGCAGAGCTTTCGTATCCAGGATATGGAGCTGATCGTATCAGGATAGTCTGATCGTATCCGGTTCGCCTGATCGTATCGGATATCTGATCAGATCCGATCGTATCAGGATGAGGATATAGATATCCATCTTGGGTGTGCGTATCCACGTGTGCTGCCCGTATCGTGTTCGGTGTCTGGGACTGCCGCCTGCGGGGGATGCCGAAAGGGCTGGAGTTTCTTGAGCAGAGCTGGCGGCAGTGGCAGAAATTGCGAGCGAGGTTTTGCTTGCAGCTGGCGCGGGGATTTGATTGGTTGGCGGTGGGTGAGGGCGGCGAAATTCTGAATTTTAAATGGGTTCGCTGGTCGATTGATTCAGGGTCCCGAAATGTGCTTGCGCCAACATTGATGGGCGGTTTGTTGTGTATGCTGTTCCAGTAACTTTATTTACACCTGCGTGCCTCTAATGCCACCTTCAACACCTTTTCAGACAAGTGTGTTGCTTGCCCAACAATAACAGCGTTTTGAATAACAGGTCATATTCACTCGGAGCAGCAGTGATGTGTGTGTGTGTGTGTCGTACGTACTTTAGACCATAGGTCGAAGTCGTAAAGGCACGTATCCACCTACAGCACAATTATAGTTTTGGATGATGTAATCCATTGCCCGACAAGTAAACTGCAAGGAGACACTCGGCGGCTCCACGCAATAGTTTGCCCAGCGCCATGCGGTTCAACTAGGACAAAGCACCCTAGTTCAGATCAACGATGTTGCTATTTGGGTGAATCACACCTCGCTTTGGTACAGTTTGCCCACAGCTGTGTGGACACCCAAAATTTGCATCTAGGTCACGACGAACAATTGAAAACACCGATCATCAACTGGTAATGGAGGCATTGAATAAGCCGCGTACATGACTGTTCTAATAAATACTGATACAGCAGTTAACGGTCAATGTTGGTTGCGCTGATGAGCGCAATTGAACAACTGCGATGTTCACAACACCTCGCTGTGATTGATTTCTGTGCTTGTATTTCTCACGAATGGCACGCTTCACAATCAATATGTGCGCCACTCAGGCGAATTCGCGTGATTAGAGGAGAACACCTCGAGTCGCATGATGGACTGACCTCAACATACTCAACTGGCACCAATCAGAAGAATGGACAACATGCGCTGATTGCACTTGGTGCCATGCACCATGGCAGTGCGCAACTCGCGGCAGGCGTAGTGTGTCCAACGCATTGCCTTCAATGTGCATGAACGCACCCGCAGAGCCCAGCAACGCGCCATCTGCACATTTCTTTATGACATATCCAGAAACAATGCGAGGGGGTCCTCCCTTTCTGCTGGGTTCATCTGACGCAACACGCGTTCAAGAAAACGCCACCCTCACACCCTCTCAGCGTTGCCAATGGACGTGGCGAGCAAAGGCGCCTCATTGTCAATTCCCCTGCAAGGCCGCCTGTCTGCCGCCGGCCGTCCCTCCATCATCACAAGTGCCATTGCCACATATGCCGGAACCAAGCCACTCTGGTAATCAGCCATGACTGCCTCATCTGCCACATTTCTCCAGCAGAATCCTAACCACCAGCGTGGCGCATGATTGTCCCACGATTTCCTGGGAGTCCATATGGCTAGTGCACGACATGGCAATGCTTCCTTTGTCGATCCTTCCCAGCAAGAAGAGCCTCGCCCAAAGGCAATGAGCATCTATGTTCCAGGCGACGCGCACGGCGCTCCTGCACCATCCTCGTCCAACATCGCCAAAGACGGCAAATGGCACTGGTTTGCCACATTTCGACCAACGCAAAGAATTGGATGCCCCCATCATCACACCTCCCCCGCACTCGATCCACACGCATCGCGCCCTGTTGCCTATTTAGATACAGCTCGTTTACAATTGGTTTGCTGCGCCCGCCGCCCTTGCGCGATCATACGAAATCCTCTCGATCTTTCGACCCGCGGAATAACCCAAAAATCCACCCTAACAAATTCTGCGTGATGCTCTAGCCGAGCCGCACAACAACCCGGTCACAGTTTCATCATCATCGTCATTCTCAACAACGCAAGCGAGACCCGGTCATCGGATGGCACCCGCGTGCACGCCAACGCGCGACGCACCATCTATTTTCGAACAAAGGCGACAACTACCGAGCTCTTATGGCCGTCAGGCAGGCGACAATGAGCGTTGGGCATGACAGCATCAAGTCACGTCAGGGGGCCGCACCGTCTTCCACCCCAATTTTATCATCTAATTTCGACAAACGCAATGTACAAAGGTAACCTCCCAATCAAACTGCAAGCGCGCGACCAACGCCTTTTCATACACATGCGCCCCTCGTACAGCGGCCTCTTTTCTGTTACATCACTGAACCTCAGGCAGCTGTCGCCTCGACGTCAAACTTGGTCCCCATCTTCCCCGGGCGCTGCCCTGCTCGCCTGCCATGGCCCGCTGATGGATCCCATCATGGCTTGGGCCATCCGCGACAGGCTCAGCTGCCTGGAGGGCGGCTGGTGTGGCCGGCTGGCCGCCCGCGCGTCGGCGGGGTTTATTCTCCTGCGGAACTCTCCCAGGATGAGCTCCGCTGAGGACAGCGATGGCTTGAGCTTGGCCGCTGGTGGTGGCCACAGCGGCCTCATGCCTGCGGTGTGCAGCGTCTGGGCCGACGCAGAGGGCGACAAGCTCTGTGCACGCACACACAGTCTATCAAAGGAGACCTATTGAACAAGATTGAAACAAGAGCATTGAGATTTTATTGTTTTTGGCCCCACTATTGTTATTAGTGAACAAGACCATGAATTAACTACAAATTATTGAAAATAGTTGAACAAGATTGGTTTTATTGAAGAAGATCACCTGCACAAGACTGAAGCGATCACCTCAGTCCGACCAGATCATGCCGTGACATCTTCTAGTAGTGCCTTGTTGCATGGTGCAGTGTCCTTGATGCAATGCTCGGCACAATGATTGGGTCCAGGTGGATCGAAATGGGCGTCCCCATGAGGGCGTGAGCAGAATTGTGCTGTACCATTGGGTGGGGGTCAAATTGAGCAGGTCGCAGCTCCAAGGTGCTGCTGTCTAGGCAAATGGAACGCTGCAGCATTGAGGTGTTGAGAACAGTGAATGTGTTGCTTATCTGGGGTATGTCATGCTGCAATGGCTGTTCATTGGAAGGATTGCTATTGGAATTGTGGGTTGCTGACATAGACAGCTAATGTTGTTCACCTTGCATCGTCAACTATCCAATTTTTCCTTTTTGAATGCGGTGCTGACTCTGCATTAAGCAGTATAAAAGCGGCAAGACACCAGTCTCTGTTCTGTTTCCACGCATGTCACGCAGGATATCTTCAGTGCCATGTCCAGTGCCCAGTGTGCAGCTTTGCAACGGCACAATCTGGCCAGCAAAACCGATGAAAACTGTCAATGCAGACAAGAAGCAACGACAGGGAAGCTGCATGTGCACCCACCGCGCTGTTGCTGTGCCTGTGCCCAGCCCCTGTCCCTGCCCCCGAAATGCTGGAGGTGGAAGACAGTGGCAGGAGCCCTTCAGATGGTCTTCTGGTGAGGGGCGTCGTGGCCGTCTCTCCCAGACTGCCGCGTGAGGGGCTGTACGGAACGCCCTGGTAGGAAAAACAGGGGGGCGACACAGACATGTAAAGCGTGGTGGCTGCAATGCTCTAGGTATATTAGCCAAATAGACAAAATGTAAGGAGATAGAAAACATAGGCCAGACAGCAGCCATTTGGCACAGTAATTATTGAGGGGCAGGGACACCTCTGCCTGGAACACCAAGCCCGGTCTGAGGATGCCATCAGCGCAATCAAGGGGTGAGACATTCCAAAAACTGGGAAACGAAGATGAGCAAAGCCCATTGTGTGCAAGCAACTGGACAGTAACAGGCTACAGGTCGTGGCAAGAAAGGAAAGGAATGTGACCCAGCTGTACTGGCAGACAACGCTCGCTCAGTGCTTCCAGCACCACATCTGTGCGCATGGTGTCATGTGCGATGTGCAAATTTGAGTGGGCTTGGACATTTTTGCAGTTTCGGACCACTACATTGTGCTTCAGTTTTCGAAGCATTACGGCTCAGCCCGTGTGGGCCATGAATGCATGTTTCATTGCAGCACGTGGTGCTTGATGTTGTGTAGCGTCCACTTCCACTCAGACACTTCTCATTGTCTTCTTTGGAAGGAGTCTTATAACATGCCTGCCTGCGAATGGTTTACTCAGTGTGCAGGATTCTTCCTTTTCAGTAACAAATATCACATTCACAAGATGTGCAAAATGATATGAGCTGTGATCCACACACTCTGGGAAACAGGCTAGAATTATTATATTATATAGAATTATATTTCGAAGCTTTCTTTGTTCAGTTGAGTCTGGGTGTTCATTCAGCCTTCTACCCATCGGCAATCAGTCGTGTGGGAACACCAACGAGCTATTCTGCAGGGGCCCTTGCTGGCACTCACTGATTCTGAATCAGAATCTGCACGCCTTGAGACGGTCACGATCTGCTGAAACCGTGGTGCAGGAGGCTTGGGCTTGATATGCCAGTCGAATGGCAGGCTGGCTGGGTCAATAGTCGCATGGGCAGCAACCTGTGTAATGCACATTTCAACCTCAGTCAGTAAATGCATGTGCTCAAAGGCACTGAAGATCAAACACGGGGCTGACGGCTATTTCTTTACATCGATATGCAGTTTTCTTGGTTAATTGAAGACAAAATGTCATATCAAGCCTAATAATTCAAAAAGCCCTGATAGATCGAGGAAGGCTTTCAGCGCCAGCTCAGTGCCTGTCATAGCAGTCCTGAACGTTTTGATTCAACCTGCTTCCTTCAATTCAGCTTCAAATTCTGCTCCAGGCCTGCAGCAGCTGCTTAAATTCATCGTAGACTGACATAGACCTGCCTTCGCACCTTCCAATGCTATTGCAGAAACAGCAACATCCTGTTTGTTACCAGATTCTCCATGATCATCATCTCGCACAGCCCACAAGAACAGAATGTTGGTGGCCAGTTCAAGTTGCCTCACCTGTACCAAATCGTCTCTGCGACCGATCAAGTGTCGTCCCCACTGCCAATAGGACAGCACCAGCGTTGCACACGAGGCCCCCATGACGATGGATATGAGAGTAGCTGTCAGGCTTCTGTCCTTATAATGGCTGAACTTGATCCAGCCCGCCAAGGCAAGGTTCAATAGGAACGTGGGAATGCCTGAACTCACAAAACATATTCAGTCTCCGAGTGCCTGGAGCACCTGTTGGGGTAATGGTATTCATCAAATCGAGCATCTCCCTTGAATGGCTTGCATCGGGCAGCAATCCATCCCGTGCATACCTGTCCAAAGGGAAACTATGGTTGCATGCTGTGCCCAAGCAAGTGCAAGCAGCAGGAATGAAATGAACCAGAGATCACAATTGCCACAACAATGTTGTTGTGGTGCAACTCGTGCAAGTCCGTTGGTGCACCCCAGGTGCCTTGGTTCACCCTAGCCCACTGACGTTATTGCAAAACAAGCCCACACGTTTCGCAAGATCACTCAAGCAAGGCAATGATCGACCATTTTCACCTCCCTCCTTTTCAGCCAAACAAACACATTCCAAAATGGCATATCTCCCCCATGTTCTACACCAAAAACAAGAAACATTTTTTCCTCCATCGTCAAAATTTACTTTCAGACACACTGCATGTGGGTCCCACCAGCGGAGAACATGAAGAATGCCCGGCGCCACTCTGCCTCTGCCCTCTGCATCCAGTGGGCGTCGAAGCTCCTGGCAGGGGCTGGTGGTCGATCGCCCATCCGGTAGTCCTTTGCGAACTTTCGGCATCTGAAGACAAAACAGTCAATCACACAGCTGAGCAATCAGCCGATCAATAAAACTGGATGTTTTACACATCCTGGAAGTAGCCAGCAAAATTCATATTCGACTGAGAAATAGAATCAACGATTCATTCATGTCGAACACATTTCACTGCAGGAATCCACCACATATGCGGTCAATCAAGTGATGTGTCAGTCTGTCCATCACTCATTGAATAAGGAAGATGTTAAGCACATCTGGCAGCTGTGTTTGACATTCAGTACAGACAGCTAATGTCAGACACATTTTCAGTCGTGCTGGCTGTCACCAAACTACTCCCTTTAAATGGAGAGCACGCCACTGGACATCCTTGCCAATAGCGGCAACAAAGGAGCAGTCAAACTTACAAATTTCTGAGCAACTTTTTGGCAACCCAATTCTTCAAGCAGCCTAACACTTTGGAAATTATTCCTGTTTCAATTTGGCAAAACACACAGTCAGGAACTGTGCGAAATGTGCAGTGTACTGTCAATGGACAATGCACCTGAATATGAACTCCGCCTCATCCTCTTCTGACACGAAATTCTTTCCAGTCTTCAGGATACTGGCATGCATTAGACTGGTCGTCACCATGGCATTGATCATCAGACCAACCTACAGAACAGAAAAGACATCAATGCACTTGGTTCAAGAATATATTCATCACCAAATAAGGGCTGTTCTTTTAAGCCACAACTATAACCAAATTGAAATTGGCTACCATTCATGCACAACAATTCAACTATGGAGTGAAGACTAAAAGTAGTATTTCAAAGTACCAAAACAACAAGCCCATGAACATATGTCCACCCAGTGTTGCAATTACCTCGAAGGTGCAAGGGCACTGACTTGTCAATTTTGGCCAAACCTGAGACAATTGACGACTGGGTACAGAATCCAGTACCAATCCCTCAGTGATAGCATTTCTAAACAACCAGTTTCCTACCGTCAATGCTGTGGTGAGCCCAAAGCCCACGACCAGCCCCACTGGTGTGTTGTCTTCCACACCAAATTCTAGGAAGGCGATCAGTGCAAATCCTCCAATGAGCGCTGCAAGGTTTGATATGCCCTTTAGCTGCTCAGCCCTTTCCTCCACCTCCCGCCGGTTCTTTTCAACTGCCCGACCCCACACATAGCGTGCATTGTCTAACACGCGCTGCTCCATGTCTTGGCCACGCCACCTTCGGCTTTCTGCTCTGGGCACAGCACGCTCCTCACTCAGGCTGTTGCCAGTCCCTGGCTGAACTGGTGTCCATAACATTCCCCATGGAAAAGAATAACACAAAGCCCAACACTCCATCTTCTGCCAAGCTGCACTCCCTTGGCATATTGTCAAACACACTGTGTGGAAGGCCCACTTGGCAGATGGGGAACCAACCAAACCCACAAGCCCTCAGTCTTTGGTTTAGCAGCACACCAACAGTACAGTGTGATCGACACGTAAGCATTCAATCCTTGCAGGCTGTTTCCAGGCTAACGTGATATGGGGATCAGCTCTTTGCAAAGGTTGCCCATTGGGTAGAGAACCAACTGCCCAGGTTATGGGCAATCCCCTCCTCAACAAGACTGTTTCAAGGTTCATTTCCACACAACAGACCTTTGTGCCAACTGCACAAACTGGTCTTCCCCAACAATATCCCACAGCAGCGTGCGGCCTACTGGTGGTGAACAAATTCTGCTTCTAGATTCTGCAACTGAAAGACGATGATGTGCATTCCAATGGCATCAGCATCTGTATCGACATCAAGAATCTGCCCGCATTAGTAAGATGGAATAGAGTATCAGGACAATGCTGCGACTCCATCCATGCAAACACGTATCCAAACAGGTCTGCAACCTCAGGCTTGTTCACTGAATGAAGCCCGCATTCTCCACACTGACTGGAGTACGGAAAACAGCAGCAAGCACTTCTGCTGCTTCCAGGATTGGCCTCACTGCTTGATCTTGCTGTTTGCGAATTTCGATGGTTGTGTCGGGACGAATGTATTCCATGAGATTTGCACAAACAATGAGATTAGGAGGGAAGTATGATTGGATTGCCTTGAGCTCTCCCCAGTGCTGGCCAAATTCGATTTATTGTAATTTCTGCTCTGCCAGGGGCTCCCCGAATCTCGAACTTGTCAGTGTTCTTTCTTAGGACTGAGCTCGTTTTCGGATTCAAACAACTTTGGGGTCTGTACATCGCCTTGCACTCTCTTGCCAGATGGCACAAGGCCCACATCTTTTGTGATAGGACGGGGGAGGCACCTGGACACTGAATTGTGATGCAATATTTCGGAATCCTGAAGAAAAACTCCATTATTGGCACGTCGTCGGCCGATTTGTGTTCATTCCAGCGAGCGCAGGAACCTGGGGCCTAAACAACCCTGAGCGCCGCCCCGAACGACACGCGACACATCCAGCTCAGAGCCCGGCGACAGTGGAATTCGGTACGTTAAACGACGAATCGACGGGAATGCTGTGGCCAACCCACCGCCACCGCCACCAGAACGCAAATGGGGTTTCGCGGTGCGGCAACACGACCCACGCGGTGGGTACGACCAGGGGAGTGATCTCGGCGCACGCGGCGATGATCTGAACCGGCCTCCCGCCGGTTGTCGACAAAAGACGCCATCGCGGCCGCCCGGGCCGACCGGCCGTCAAGCCCCCTTCCCCATCCGTCCAACACCACCCACAATTCGGGGCCCCCCCTGTGATCGCCTTCCCGACGACGAACCATGCCCCCCGCGAAAGCAGCCGCTTTCCCCGCCGAACAAGACCCCTCACTGCCAACGCCCCCATAGTGCAAGACAGCAAACACGTCTCCGAATGCGGCAGCGCGTCGCGGCGCACGAGGCGGTTCGCCATTCGCCTCACATGAAATCCGCGTCCAGGTTCATCTGCGCCCCCTCCACCTTCCTCCACTCCACGTCCTCCCGCCGCCACCTGCGGTCCTCCTCCCGCCACTGCCGCGACAGCGCGGTGTCGAAGCCCGTCAGGATGGCCTGCGCCGACTCGAACAGTGTCTCGCTCATCGCACCCACGGCCGCACACCCAACAAAGATCGCCTCCTCTTTCTTTTAAACCTGAAAAGGGATGCCGAATTATCTGAGATGCGGTTTGGGTGTGCCCGGAGGAGGTGTGTGTGTGGGGGGGGGCGTCGCGCGGGCGAAGGCGGGGGCAGCGGCGGAGGAGTGGGCCGGGCGGGGATGGGAGGCCTTTGTGGGTCGATGGGCCCCCGGGTAGGAGGATCGAGCATCGCAAGTATTTCAGCGGTATCGTAGTACTTGATGCACGCGAATATGTGTCGCGCGACGGGATGTTCCCCTGGATGGGAGGGCAACGGTTTGACGGATCGCGTCCAGCAACTCGTGCTTAGTATGTGCCCGGCATGTTTGGAAGTTTACGATCGAGTGTATGGAACTGTTTTTTTTTTTTCTTTGTTGGGCGGATTCCAAAATATTGCCTCACATTTAGTGTCCATGTGCCTACCCCACCCTATAACAAGATGCGTGGGCTTAGTGCCACCTAGCAAGAGAGCATTGTTGTCCAACGAACTTAATTTCCATTTGTTTATGTACGAACAGCCGTTTCTGGTAGAATTGGACGATGGTCCCATTGACGGCTCCGGGTGCCAGCCATTTCGTCTAAAGACAACTCGTCTAATGGACAACTGGTCTAAGGACATTACGTCTAATGGACAACTCGTCTAAATTTCCGTTGACCCGAGTTGACGCACTCACATCCACATCGCAGAAGCAGCCAGTGCCCCGGGGGCCCTCACCCGTCCAGCGCATTCCCCTAAACCCAAAAAACAACTCACTCACATCCGCATTCCAGCTCAAGCCGGTGACCTGAGGGCCCTCACCCGTTCAGCGCATTCCCCTAAACCCAAAAAACAACTCACTCACATCCGCATTCCAGCTCAAGCCGGTGACCTGAGGGCCCTCACCCGTTCAACGCATTCCCCTAAACCCCAAAAACAACTCACTCACATCCGCATTCTTGCTGAAGCCGGTGACTCGCAGCCACGTCTTCAATCAAAACTGCACGCCCTGGGCAGTCAAGACGTTCGCACCGCCAGTAACTGGTGTACTCCACCACCCGGTTCCTTGTGTAGAGGTGCCCGTGAGCGTAGAGCTTCAACGCCCTTTGTCCACGAATCAATTCCCATTGTGGACTGGGGGCGCGTTGGCCTGCCTCTCCCGTCGATCCACCTTCTTGCCTTGGAGGATCTGCTGGCTCCCTCGCTGCCAATCGGCGCTGCCGTTGGGTTGCCTCTCCCGTCGATCCACCTTCGGCACTTGCAGAATCTCCGTGCTCCATGTCTGCCGGTCGACTCTCCCTTTCGCCACCCTCCCCCGTCGATCTATTTTCGCCCCTTGGAGGATCTAGCGGCTCCATCGCCGCCGATCAGAGCAGACGTTCGGGTACCTCTGATCCCATCGATCCACCTCCGCGACCGGTAGAATCTCCGCTTTCCATAGCTGCCAGTCGACGGCGCACGTTGCGCAAACCGTAGCACACCCGCCAGCCACGCGCCTGGATGGGCGCTCACCCTCCCGTGCTATCCCGCCCCCTGTGCGCGCGTCAGGAACGCGCCCAGGAACCAGTTCGGAATGCAGCCCGGCACTATCGGAATGAAATGTAATTGTGGCTTAAATGCAATTAATGGGCGTTGTTTAGACGAGTTGACTCAACTCGTCTAAAGACAACCCGTCTAACACAAAGACGGAGTCAATGTTGCCATTGACTTCACCATAGGGCACTTGAACACACGCGACGGCTTTGAAAACGAGTGGCATTCATAACAGGGAAGTTTGTGTCACAGGTACACAACCAACCCATGGCCGCGTTGAGGGTGGATAACTCGTTAGACGAGTTGTCCTTAGACCAAATGCCCTTAGACCACTTGTCCGTTAGACGAGTTGTCTTTAGACGAATGGGCCGGACACCGACGGCTCCACTCCTCGTTGACCCTTGTTGATGAATGCCTTTGTGTTGTTGGAGACATTCATCTGCAATCCCGGCAACAGGCACTGTTGACTTCACAGCCACGTGCCAGATCAAAAATTCGAGTGTTGAGCGAGCGCACAACTGGTTCCCGGCGCACAACTGGTTCCCGGCACACACACCTTCCTACATATGCTCCGTCTTGCACTCTGTGCTTGCGAGGCTGGTAACAGCTTTGGTTGGTAGTACCAACTTGGTACATGGGGCAATGATCGACGAATTTGTTGCTATAAATATTGCATCAATTGCGTGGCTACTATACGATATTTAGATCGGCTCCATTATACACTCTTGTGAACGTGTGTGTCTTGGCCTTAGCTAGGACTGTTAATTGAGATATTTGGATAACAATTGCCTAAGTGAATGTTTGTTGGAAAGCCAAAAACGCCTTTGTGCCTCAAAAGATAAAGAGGTACTCAAAAGCCCTCCATAAATATGCCCCTGTTAATCGATACGCCCATATTGACATATTGATATCTCACAATACAAGGAGAGAACTGGCAATTTGTGATAAGAAAGACATGGCAATTGCCATCGCTTACGAAGAGACGCAAAAAAAATATTGGGAAGAACATGGCAATGGATGCACATCTTTGAAAATTTAGCATTGCAAATTTATAACTATTAGATTGTCTACATCTGGTGGGTACACTTGCACATAGTCGCTCCCCCAGGCACGGGGAGCAAGCCACAACCAGATGGATTACAGAATGACTATGTCGGTTATGTAGTGTTCACTACAAGCGTGCCCCATCCATATTCCACCCAATCATTCCCCATTTCACCATATTTAACACCATATTCAATTCACCATCAAAACATCATTCTCCACATAATTACTTATGTATTCTCCTATCCTCACAATAACCATGTTCTGTATGCAAGATTTGTGTAAGAGCATTTGCGACTTTGCCTAAAAACATTGCAATGCACCTGGAAGCCAGTTGAGCTTTGCTAAAGTTAAATAGAATATGGAAGAGCCTATGTGACTCAATAGTGCCTAGTGGACAAGTGGTGACAGTGATGATAGCGATAAAATGAGGGATTGAATTGAGTTTCTTGTTAAGTAATTCTGCCAAGTTGTTGTGTGTCAGACAATGTTGAGTGTTCCTAAGATGGCATGGTTTTTCAAGTATGGAATATGGTGCACTTATTTGATTGATATGCATTACCCTATTCACAATACCCGCATTGTTGTCTTTTCATTCCGTCATATGCTACCATATTGAGTATAGTCTAAATATGCTTGCCTGGAAATAAGTGAATTCTGTCCGGGGAAAAGCATTGGTGTCTTGGCAGCAATAGTATATTTGCATATCTGACATGAGCACAGGTTGTAACTCCTATGCAGGAGCAAAACGCCCTTCACAATAGCTGAATTGCTCGTTGATTACATTTGCCCCGTGAACAAGACCAAACCTTGTACATTCACATTGACACAAAGTGATGTTGACATTGCAATATTGTTGTGGTATTCTTGGCTACTCCAACAAAAGAAACCAAAAACATAGGCCTCAGACACGGGTTAGCTCATGACCATGTCTAGTTAAGCATTGCCCAAGATAGGCGAAGGACCACAAGCAACCTGTAAACTTTTGCCGAATGTGAGCAACGAGAATTTGTCCCACATGTCTGACAACACACACTGTGAAAGTTGCGCAACTTGTGCATAGTGTGTTGGCCCCCACAAGCTATATATTGTCCACACATTATTTAAGTATGGATGATAAAGTCAATTTCAGGACCAGGGATCCAACCGGGTACTGTTGCAATTGGTATTGATTGAGTATTATTATTAGATGGAAGCATAAAAAGTGATGAAGCATTAGGAATTGCATCAAGGGCATTGATGAACAGACTGGATAGAAGGGACATAAATCTTGTTTCCTTTTGCTCGACTGTTAAGCCGTTGTCATGGACTTGCGCTTACAGTCCCCACTCAGAGTGTGCCGCCCATCGACCCTGCCTGCATTTGTCAATACCTCTAATGGGATGTCCCACTGCATTACCAAACCGCTTGGTGTGGCGTCGAGCCTTGAACCACAGCAAAAATGGCGTCCAAATGGCGAATCTTCTAGCAATGAACCAGTCACGCACGAAAACGGACGCTCACCCATCTGAGCTCAACTCGACGGTGAAGTGCACCCACAATAGGCATCTCTCAGCACAGCATGTTCTCCATCCAGCGGGGTACAATCCCTGAGAGATACACACAGAACGGCAAGGTGGGCCCAAAGATTGCAGTTGTTCGTTACAAGCAAAGCGGTGTGTCCTTAAATACCCAAGCCGCTGGTGCGGTACCATTACCAAGGTTCCATGAAAAAGTCCCTGATGCCGGTGGCACCACTTACATTGGCTGGTAGTACATTAAAATGGTTGTACATTAATATTTGTACATTATATATTTTATTACATACGATTGTACGTTGATTGATAGGTTAAGTGTGCACGGAGCACACTTTGTAACGTCTCTCGTTGGGTTTCATGCTCTCTCGCACGCAGCCCACGCGTGGTCCTTGCTAGGACCCGCTCAGTCCCGTTAGATTCATACAAGGTACCACTGTACCTCCGCCTTAGGTGCGCTGCCCTTAACTTAACATACCGATTGCTCCGGTTTATGTACTAACCCGCGATACCCAGGGTTCCTGACCCATTCTAAGCCACCGGGTGTGTTACCCTAGCTCCACAATACCAACGCCCCCGCACTACGTACTTACCCGAGTTACCCAATCTAGACAGATGGTACTGCGCTCCGCTTTGCGAATCTTCCCACTCCGAATCTACCAAATTTCCCATCAAACGCCAACTTCTCGGGCCGCGGCACAGCATCTGGTGCGGCACCCGCCATAGTTAGCCCTCTCAAAATACTGGATTCCATGTGGGTGCTACACCCACTAGGCTCCAGCCTCCTAAGTATGCCAGAACTTGCTTCCTGCGCCCCCATGGTAAACTGGATGTGTCCAGCCGTCATCTCGGGGTGTTTCCAGCTATGTGGTACATCTCCGAAGTCCCCGTCTTCATC